AAGTATTTGATTCCTTTACAACACCAATCTGAAAAGTTTATCATATTATTGTTTTGTAATATGTCAGGGTTGTTCCAGATAGGTGTACGTCTGCATGGGATTAATGAAGACTCCGTCAATTTTAGAAACTCCCACCATGCTGTCATAGAAGAGCTGATGTTGATGCTTTTAAAACATTCATGTCGTTGGATGTTTGAGCTGATAAATGGTAGGTCTGAAATCTCTAGATTATTGCAAAGTGCTTGTTCTTCATCTAGCCAAGGTTCATCTAAGAGGGTATGTTTTGGCCATCCTGAGATAAACTGAAGCCTGTTGGCTAAGAAGTAGTGCTGAAAGTTAGGTAGTTCTAGTCCTCCTTTATCCTTGGTCTTTTGTAGTGTTTTTAAGCTTATACGTGGGGGTTTATCTTTCCAAAGGAATTTGGACATGTATGAATCTAGGGATCTGAACCAATCTTGTGGTGGTTTAGTTGGGATCATTGAGAATAAATAATTTATTTTTGGTAAGACCATCATTTTTATAGCGGCAACCCTTCCCATGAGTGATATGGGTAGAGATTTCCATCTAGCCAGATCACCTTCTACCTTCTTTAAAAGTGGGATATGGTTTAATTTAGTTAGATCTGCAAGCTTGGGAGAAACATTAATACCTAAATATTTTATATTTCCAAATTGCAGTGGTGTAGAAGAAGAATTATGGAAGGAGCAATTCATCGGAAGGACTGTAGATTCAATCACACCAGAGATATTGGTTTGTGAATTTTGGAGAAAAAGTAACACATCATCCGCATAAAGGCTGACTTTATGTTCCACGTTCTTGTATTTTATGCCCTTAATTACTGTATTCTGTCTAATTGCTGCTGCTAGTGGTTCAATAAAAATTGTAAACAGTGAAGGGGAGAGTGGGCATTCCTGCCTGGTGCCCCTCAGGAGACAGAAGCTGGAGGATGTTTGGTCATTTGTTTTGACACAAGCTGTTGGGGAATTGTATAATATTTTTAACCAGTTAATGAAAGAGGATCCAAAACCAAATTTGTGTAAAGTTGCAAATAGAAATTTCCAGTTAACTCTGTCAAATGCTTTCTCTGCATCTAAAGAAAATATTGTAGTTTCGATGTTTTTACTGTATGAGTAGTCTATCAAATTAAGTAATCTACCTGTATTTGTTGATGAGTGCCTACCTTTTATGAAACCAGTTTGGCCAGGATGAAGTAAGAGGGGGGTTATTTTCTCTAGTCTCTTTGAGAGAGCTTTGCAGATTATTTTAAGGTCTACATGTATAAGGGATATTGGACGATAGCTTGAGGGATATACAGGGTCTTTGCCTGGTTTTAGCAGGAGATTAATGTTTGCAGAATTCATATTTGATGGAAGTCTGCCCTTTTCTTTGATTTCCAACAACGTTCTGCAAAAAAAATGGTGCTAGAATCGACCAGAATTCTTTGTAGAATTCTGCAGGAAAGCCGTCTGGACCTGGAGCCTTATTATTGGGCATACTTATCAGGGCTTCCTGGAGTTCACCTGGTGTCAGTGGCGAATCCAGTGAGTGTCTAATAATTTTGGAGGAGTTATGTTGTCCAAAAACTGATCAATTTTGTTTTTAGATGGGTTTATTTGAGCCAGACCAGCTACTAGGTGGCATAGGGGGCTGCCCTGCCGCCTCCCCCAGTTGTGCAGAGATAAATCGAGGCGCTCAAGCTGCCTGGGCGATGGCAGCAGATCCATCCTGTGGTCTCCATGGGCAGCCCGCAATGAACAGTTCCAGGATCTCCTGCTCCATGATGCGAGCCTCCCCTTGAGCGGACCTAGGTTACAGCCACAGCCTCGCTGAGTTGACTAGCGTAGGGGAAAGGCTAGTCCTTCGGCCCCATCCGACCCTCCCAGAACCGCCAGCGATAGTCCTGTGGTACAAGGCCCTGTTGGACATCTGCAAAGCTGCTGCTCACACGCGGGCAGGCTGAGAGCCACTGCATGGGCTTTGCTTGACAGCAGCGGGAGCAGAATCAGCACTTACTCCTCCTCCAACCAATGGTACACAACCGCCATGGCCCGCAAGACCTCCAGGAAGGCGGGGGGGTGTGGTCGTCTCCCTCCCCCATACAGTAGAGGGACACTGGCGGGGCCCAGCCCAAGCTACCAGACTTCCCAAAAGCCCCATCCAGTGCTCAGATTGGTCCTGCAGTTGTTCCAGCTGGTGGCTAAACACCACCTCCTGCTCCTACTGCCTACCCACCAGCTCACCCACCATCCAGGCCAGCGCCTCCACTGGCTGGGCCGGTCTTGGTTCTGCCAGTGGAGGCGCTGGGTTTTGGCACCACTGTGGAAATGATGTACCCGCCAACAGCGTTTGCAGTTGCACACGTTTTTATTTGCACTGTTTTTAACTGGACAACTTTTCATCTGCCCTGCTTGTAGCCCTAGGTCCCACCTCAGGTCCCAGCACATCTTTTATCGAGGAGGCATGACTAGATGATGGAGCTCAAGTTTGAGTCAGCCTCACACCTGAGGCTGACTCCGCACCCTGAACCCTCTGCTCCACCCCTCCCCTGCAGCTGAGCCACAAACCACACCCTGCCACATGACTCAACAGCATTTTGAGAATGTCTGTGTGTCTGTCTGACTGTATGTCCACAGTGAAGCCATCTGAGCCACAGTGCTGGATGGAGGGCAAATTCTTGGAAGGCAGTGATGTTAAGATGAGCTGCAAGTCCGCTGATGGCTCTGATCCTATCCATTACAAATGGGAAAAAGTACTGGACGAAGGCAAATATGTAGACAAGCTGCCTCCACTGACACTGATAGGTAAGTCTGTCAGATGTACCTAGGGCTTTTTAAAACAAAAATTTAAACCTTGAAACGAAGCAAAAAAGAACAAAACACACACATCATTGTGATGTGGTAGGGCATCATAATGAAAACATAAAAAGTGTGTTGTACAGCTCTCTCCATGCCTATACCTCGATCTGGTCAACTTTGACCTTTGTTTATCCAACCTCGGTACTCACGTCCCCCAAGGTCAAGTGTATTGTTCTGGAATTTGAAGATGATCTATAAAAAATTGCAGGTAATATAAACTGTTTAATGATTTTCACATTTGGTGTTACTGACCTTCAACCAATTTTCAAAAAAAATCCACCATGATGCCAAATCTGAAAAATGCTAAACTGTGGACACTAGATGCTGTGCATGCTAACATAAAGACAAACAAACAGAACAGATTACATACTCGTTTTACTGCATAGTCATGTTTCAGCTCTTAAATAAATGAAGACTTCTGACTAATCTAAGTTATTCTGTTCTCCTTTTATCTTTTTCAAGTACATTTAGCTTGCATAAAGAATCTGTCAAAAGTATTTACTTTTTAAAAACAGCAAAGATTTGTACAAAGGCCATGGCTATTTCTTTATGTTAACTCATCTTTAGGTACATTTATTTCAATAGAAATCAACTCTTTTTCAAACAACACCATAAAACAGTAGTGCACTCTTAGATGCTGTCTTGTCATTCTTGGTACATCAGATTTCAAAACCCCAGAGATTGTGGCACTGAGGAATTTGACCAAGGACGATGCCGGACTCTACAAATGCACAGCCAGCAATGATGTGGGAGAAGAGAGCTGCACAGTGGAAGTCAAGATACACTGTGAGTGAAGAACTTTTTTTGAACACTGAATAAGTTAACAATTGCTGCTTTTGATTTGCAGAATAAAATCCCCTCTTCATGTCATTGTAGAGCTCATCTGCAAATTATTTTCATACACACTGCCTGAAGTGCTATAGTGAAACTGTAGGTGAACGTGACATTCTTTTAAATTGCAGATCACAACATCTCTCAAAATTTGTGGTCTGTCTGTGCTTCTCAACCTTAAGTTCACTGCTTCTTAAGTGGAATCTCAGTTATTTTCCTAAAATCATTGATCATTTTTCTTTTAGCAAAAATGTGGATGAAATTTGTTGAAGTGGATGGGAAGACAGTCTTTTCTCTATAGTTCAAAATAATACATTGCATTGTAAACTCACACTTGAAGGGGCTTTCTACACTCATTATTGATCAGATCCATCAATTAACACTAGACTCCATATATGATAGTGTTTTTTTGTTGATTCTGAGTGGAAAGGTGGTGCATTGGTTCACCCTATCACCTTGCATTAGTGGTTTAAATTTAGATTGGCTGGAGCTTTGGTGTGACAAAGCCTCCCTCAAACTTTAATGTAATGCAAATGGACTTATTCTTATACAGTGCTTTTCTATGCTCTTTCTATGTAAATGCTTTCTATCTAAATCCTACTTCGGAGAGCAACATCGGGTTAGTATCTTGCCCAAGGACATTTGGCATGCAGACTGGAGCAGACAGGGATCAAAACACAACTGAAGACAATGAGGGAATAACTATGGGCAGAAACATCATGAGATATTGTGTGTAGGTATTTGAGTTAAAAAATGAATTTCATCCATTATGAATATGAATATTGTGAGAAAACCTGGAACAACTTAAGTGCTTGTCAGTACTTTCCCGGATCTGCTGTACCAATCCATTCTTTTCCTCATACCACTAGCAATGCAGCTCTTTTGATTTGAACATAATAAAAACCCTCAGTGGCCACATGGGAAATGTTCTGGCACAGGACATAAACTACTCTCCCAGTCCTCCCTCTGACATTGAGTCAGCACTGTCATCTGTGGGACATATTTGTCCTACGTATATTACACGCTTGACAGTGGCTTGTGCAGTAGCCTGGAGTTGGTCTCCAGCAGTGTTGTTCAAATTACTTGAATAAAGTAATTAGTTACTTAGTCACTTTTTAAAGAGTCAAACTCAAAGTAATGTCAGTATTTCCCAACATTAAATGCTGCATGGTGCTGCTCTATCCCGCGCCCCATGTTTTCTATTCTTGATCTACACATGTGTCTGTTGGTGCCATGGATGTTGGAAAGTAACAGTAATCTAATTACCTTTTTGCAATAGCAATCCCTTACATTAAAAAGTAATTGGATTATGTGTTACTGCCCATCTCTGGTCTCCAGTATTGTCTTCCAGTGCACTGAGTTCCTAAGGAACATTACTAGTGTACTTTAAGCCTTGTATAGTGCCAAGCATTCCTATACCTGTGAGATCTGATTGAAATGACCTCCTCAACATGTCTTGAAGTTCCCCTGAGGCCTGGTAATGAACTAATCATTTGATTCAGGAGTGTTGATCCAGGGTGAGATCTAAAACCTGCAGGACACCGTCCCTCGAGGCCTGGATTTGGACACCCCGATCTAAAGGATAAAGATCACTCTTTCAAGGATGTCAGTGTTCACATTTTAGACAGACAAGACAGATAGTTTGACAGAGAAGTGAAAGAGGCCTTCTATGTCCACTGTGAACAGCCATCTTTCAACAGAGGAGGTGGCTTATCACACCAACTGCTTGCCACCTACAATGCAGTTTTGAGATCCCTTTCCCAAGGTGCCTCAAGCCCTACTTACATCTTGCGTCAGTTGATCTCAATGGGTCACATGATATAGGGTGAGGGAAGGTTTGTTCTGCTGATGAACTCTGCTGTTAATGACTTACAGCTTTTTTAACATCTTGGCTCATGTGACAAGGCACATCATCAATAGTGGTTCAACGACCTTCTTAATGGACAACCCCCACTAGGGTTTAAATATCTGAGACTTTCCACCATTTGGTTTTAGAACTGAAGAAGCTTTCAGATGAGAGGTGACGTGTCTTCAAGAAACTTTAAAAAGTCCAGGTTCGTTCTTTTCCAAGCTCATCAGACAATATAGGAGAAATCTGCTCTCTCTTTCTAGTCGCTGTCAGTACTCCTGCTGCAGCATTTTGGATCAAGTGACGGCTTTTCAGTCAGTTTTTAGAACAACCTGATAATAATGAACTAAAGTAATCCAGTCTAGAAGATTAACTGGATGAACAGGATTTTTAGCATCATTTTAAGACTGGATTTTTCTAATTTTAGATATTGTGCAAATGGAAGAGAGCATATCTGTTTAATATTTTTTAAGCCTTTGTGTTTTATGCTTGAATCATTCAAGTATACAAATACTTACAAAATACACACGGGATTCTTTTGATAATGCCGAGAGCACGAACTCAGGCGGTTCAACGTTCCAGCGGTGAGCTGCTCTGTGCCACTGCCTTAAATAGCAGCTGGGGAAATCAGCCAGATCAGCAGCAGGTGGAGACAATCACACAGGTGCGTGGGCCAAGAGCGAGAGCCCATAACGAGCTCCACCCAGGCAGAGAGGAGGAGGAGAGACAAAGAAAACAAAAACAAAAAAGAACAACAACAACAAAACCTGTAGCCAGTGTGAGCCAGCCAGAGAGACACGGGGACCGTGACAGAACCAGTGCCAGCCAAACAATTTATCAAAGAACCCATTTTAAATGGAATCTTTAGACACCTTGTTACTAGCAGCCTGGTGCAAAACACACCTTGAATCAACAACAAGGTGATTTAAAAAGACAGCCAAAAATCTGTTACAGCTCAATATGGTGTGCTGTGTGTCTTTAAAATAATTTGAGGGAAACTGGACAAGTGGAAGACAAAAGAGGTGGCAGGCCTTTAACAAACTACAAACTTTCCAATTGGTAGACAATGCACTCTTCCTCCTGAGCCACAACCACCTCTTAGAATAAGTATTTGCATTTATATTTGCACATACTTCAGTAAATCACTGAACATATGTCCAACTTTTCAATAAATAAAAAGTGATGACTCAAGACTTTCTCACAATACTATAGTCGACAACTTGGAACTTCTGGAATAGCATTATTTAAAACTATTTTAAAATGTATTGATTTTCAAGGTTCGATTATTTTATATTATAGCCATAATATATAATAGCTGAAGGGATAAATTGGGGTTTTTTTTAATCTGGCTTTAGCTTTTATAATACTGGGGTGTGTTATATAGGTTTCTGAAAATGATAAAGACGGGGAGACAAGTATTTTACTGAAACTTGCATGCAACTGAAAAATAGCAATGGTGAATTTGATGCATTGGTGGTTGTAGCATAATAGTGTGTCTTACATCAATATTTTTTGTTATTTTTGGTAGATGTGAAGGGAATTGGTGTGGTAGCAGGTGTAGTGGTTGGTGTGTCCTTCGCCATTCTGCTTATCTTACTCATCATCTGGTTGGTATTCTGCAAAAAGGACATGGAAAAAAATGAAGAGGAGGAGACGCCCAATGAAATCAGGTAGACAATGCCTAGAATATTTCTTTGCACATGATAACTACCCATGACAAAAAACTTTTACAGTTTTATTCAATATATTAATATAATTGCTGCATGTTATACAATCATTCATTTCATCGTTTCAGCCATCTCATTACCAGAATCACTGAAATATATGTATAACCTGTATACCTGTAGGACTGCCTTTCTGATCCATCAATGTTTCTGCATGAAATAAAAACTTCAAATAGATGAATCCCAAAATGATAGTTTCAATTTATGGCTGTATTGGTTATAACAGCAGTTGCCTTTTCTCACTTTTTACACAAAGTGATTGTATTAGTTTGAATTGCAATAATTCAGACTGTTGTGGAATTTTTCTATTAATTAACCAGTTACAGAACAAGAAAGTTGAAAGTATTCACTACTGATCAGAAGACTTAGAACACTCTAATCCTTCCAGTTATTTATTGCAATTCAAGTCGTTCAAATCCAATGAATAGCTTGAAATGGTACAAAGGTAAGTGTTGAACTGCCAGAGGTTTAAAAAAAGGTAAGGTTACCCAACACTAAAAAATAATGTACATTTCAGAAAAATTGCCTTTTTCAGGTAACACAACATGGTTTTAACAATTTAAATCTGTTCTGCAACAGTGGAGGTTGATCCAGCCTTGAAAGCTGGTGCTACTAATTCCTACAGGTGTTCCAACTTCTCTGGATTACTTCCAGCTCCCTCTGTCTGCATAAAAGCAGTGTTGGAGCACACTGATGTACCCTCGTGAGCATCACTTGAACAGTACTGTACTGCAGAAAGTAGTGTGTTGTACAGAAATTGTCATGGTGCGGCATGGCACACCATGGAAGGAGTGGGGAAGGAGGACCCAGGCGTGTATAAACAGTGCGTTTATTTACAGTGATGGAAACAATAACAGTAAATCCCCGTGCTCTCCCGTGACTCCCGTGTCGTGTCTTCCCAAAAAGTCCGTGCTCCGTGTTCTCCACTCTCGTGTGTCCACACACACCCCGTGCCTGCTGCCCTCCGATGTTCCACGCTCCTCCTGAGGGGAAAATGACAGAGGCAGCCGTCAAGACACTTAATTCCAGTAGGCATACACTCAGACTTTAACTAAGCAGAAGACTAACGTGGAGTCTCATGGAATGATCCCGCATCGGTGGGAGCTCCAAGACTCTCTTAAGTAGCTCCCCCGACGAGGCCTGATCAGCAGCAGGTGTGTGGCTTCGGGTGTGGCCAGTCCCCTTGCAGGACCACACCCTCCAGGCCTGACGCCGCCTATAAACAGGTGCTCAGCCACACACACACATATATATATACACACACACACAAGCACAGAGAAGGGAAGCAACACCAAAATACATATAATAATAATACTAATAATATAATTCATAACTGCTCAGGGATCCTGGGTCGCTCAGACCCAGGACCCTGACAGAAATGGTGAGAAAAATGGAATTAACAATGGAAGAGAGACAGACCATCATAACATTTATAAATGTAAGTCTGTCCTACAAAGAAACTGCAAAGAAAGTCAAGGTGTCAGTGAGTACAGTTTCCTTCACCATCAAAGACACTCAGAAACACCCCAGTTTCCACAAAACGCAAGATACCACGATAAAACCATTCAGGAGCTGAAATAATCGATTTGTACCTTTGGCTTAATCGTTGCCCAGCATATCTGAAATGTCTCCGCCAAAGAAAGCCTCGAACCTAGGCAAGAATAAGACCATCGACAAATGGTCGAGCATCGAGCTTGATGCTAATGATAGTTGCACCAGCAGGGCTTTGGCTGAGCCTAAAGTTGTCACTCCGGATGACAAGAGTGAAATGTATAAGATATGCCAGGAAACATGTAAGACAATATCTGAATCAATCCTGGAAAAACTTGATGAGCAGTTTGATGCTTTTGAGGCCAAGTTCCAGTTGGTGCTATCCATACAGACTGACTTACAGAACCGCATGGAAGGTCAGGAAATTAGCGGTCAACGCCCCGGGAATAGCGAATGGGAACGCTTGAAGCCAAATGCGAGGACCTGGCAAAGCTTGTAAAGATTCAACCCAAACTGAGACTTAATATAAAAATTGTTGGCATAAAACAGCGCTCAGAAGATAGGGAGTCCGAAAGAGTTTATTTCCAACCTCATCCCCGAATTATTGGGTAAGCAACACTTGCCACATCCACTTAAGGTCGACCACGCTCATCGATCCCTATGGCCTAGGCTGGCAGCGGGACAGAAACCGCATACCACCATCGCCCGAATACATCACTTTCAGATGAAAGAGCTTATTCTATGCCTCGCCAGGATGCAACCGATGGAGTACAAGGGGAATAAAGTTCTGATCTTCCCAGACTGCACCAGCGAAGTAATGAGCTAGCACTGTTCCTTCCGGAATGTGATGCAAGCCCTGAGAGAAGATGGAATTAAATTCCACCTATGGTACCCAAAAAAGCTGTGTGTGCACTAGAAAGATGAGGATATTCCGGAGGTTTTCAATGATCCAGAACAAGCAGAGGTGGCTCGCCAGCGTTAGAACTATAGTGCTACAGAGAAGGAGTAACTTGCGTATCAGCTGTGATTGCATGTCTTCTTTTTTCTTCTTTTTTCTCTCTTTTTGTCTAATAAGGTGAGCGAGCTTTTAGTTTGTGTTGTGCCTCACGCTGTGGACTATCAAACAGACTGCACTGTGTTGCTCCTAATTTCTGACTTTTTAAAAAATGTTTTGTTTTCTTTATCTGTATGCTAACTGTCAATCCACAGTTTGCATACAAACTGGCGCCGATCAGCTTTTCCAGAAAGCACATAGTTCAGTAAGATCATCTGGTAATGTGTCATAGTTATATAATTATATTAGTTAAGTAAGTGCAATAGAATACAAATAGAATACACGCATCTAAGCAACAAAACAAAACAATACCCCAGCGCCTATCACCCGCCCACCCTGCTGCTCCCAAAAATGACATGCATCTATCCCCTAGTAAACCAAACCGAGGCTGCTGGGCAAATTGTGAACCTCACTTAAAGGAATCACAATGCCCGGATGAAACGGATGATAAAGGATTCAGAAAGTTTATTCATGCAGGCCCATATGACAGAGAATGTGCATCTTTTTTGTTTTCATATTTTAATTTATATTTAATTGTGTTGTGGTTTGCAGTGTTTTGTGTTGTTTCACTTTCAATTTGTTTAAAAGGTAAAAGCTGAAAATTTAAATAGATAAAAGTTGAAATGTGAATAGTTGGTTTTTGTATAATATGATTTATTTATTACATTTTATGTGGAATGAATAAATATGAGTATATTTACAAGGCAGGAAGTACCAACGACCAGATTTGGTGTGTGGTAGTAACAGGTAAATGAACGTTTTTTTCTTAAATTATTTGAATGTATCTGAGTGCTTGTGTACAAACACACAAACAATACACATATGCTTTCAATTGTATAATTTAAGTGATCCAGGTAGCTCTGTTTTGGAAGTTCAGTTAACGCTAGAAATGTGTTTTGGAGTTTGTACGTGCTTTGTCTCTTGGGGCCACCGTATATATTTATATATAAACATATATAAATAAAACCACGTTGTTTTTTTTACATTAATAATTCCTTTTGTGCATTTATATATTTATATATTTTTTTATCTTTTATATTTTTGTTAATAATAAATTAATTAAAGCAACAAAACAACCTGAAGAGCGGGTTGGGAGCCGAAAGAGCCGGTTCTCTAAAAAGAGCCGGAAATCCCATCACTAATAACAACGATTCTAATATAATAGTGGCTGGAGACCTTAACTGTTATCTTGACCCCTTCTTAGATACATCATCCACGTGACTAGCACACCATTGTTTTTCTTGTGACATTACCAATAAGTTTGATGTGTCACATGGCCCTCTTCCTATTGAAAAAACAAAAGTTGTATCCAAGATGGCCAACTTCTAAATGGCCACCATGGTCACCACCCATCTTGAGGAGTTTGCCCCCTCACAACCATTCCCATGTTATTACGGTGTATCCATATAAATGGCCCACCCTGTACTTTATGGGAAGCACTGAAGACTGTTTTGAGGGGTGCGATAATTTCTTACACTTCAGCTCTTAAAAGAGAAAGAGAGAAACGTCTGTCGGAAATCAATAGCTTTCCTGTCCTGGAAAGAATGTATCAAACCTCTAAATCGTCTATGGATTATAAAGAGATACTGAAATTAAAAAATTAATATAATGGCATTATGAGTGGCCTAGTCAGCAATTTACTCAGCAATTTACTCTGGATTTTGCGACAAAAGCACTTTGAGTTTGGGGATAAACCTGGTACATTGCTAGCACGACAGCTTTTGTTTTATATTTTTACAAATTTAAAATTAAATTATCCAAAAAAAAAAAAAAAACACGGAGGAGGAAGTGTGATGGTTTGGGGCTTTTTGCTGGATCCAGGGTCGGTGACTTGTACAAAGTGAGAGGCACCCTGAACCAAAACAGCTACCGTAGCACTCTGCAGCTCCATGCAGTAGCCTCTGGTATGGACCTAGCTGATCAGGAGTTCATCCTACAGCAAGATGATGACCCAAAACTTGAAAACATGGAGTGTCCAGCACAGTCTCCAGACTTAAACCCCATCAAGTTGGTTTGAGATGAACTGGACAGAAGAGTGAAAGCAAAGCAGCCTACAAGGTCCACATTTATGGGAACTTCTGCTACAGATATGTGAGAATATTTGATTTCTATTGTAGAAAGAATAACACGAGTGTGTTCAGCTGTTATATCTGCCAAAGGAGGCTACTCTGGTGAGTCAAAGGTTTAGAACAGCGGTACTGGCCCTTGAGTCTTTCGGTACTGGGCGGTGAGATTTGAGGCTTGGGTGTGAAATTTAGGCATTTTTATCGGTTTTTATCATTATTTTTTTTAAAATCATTTTTATCATTAACTTGGTTTTCCTTCGTCCGTCTCCTCCTCCGTCTTTTCCCGTGTGTTATGAATAAATCTTCTTTTTTTGGTACCGGTACTGGTTTTATTTTGGTGAATTTATCCATGACACCTTAAAGTCCGGTCAGTGAAAATGTTGTTGGACATAAACTGGTCCGTGGCGCAAAAAAGGTTGGGGACCGCTGGTTTAGAACACATTTTGGTCTACAAATTGATTCCATGAATTTTTTCTTTTGACTCCAGTTGCTTATTTGTACTATGCTTCATTACAGAGTGCAATGTGACAGTAAACTTCATAATTTTCAATAAAAAACTGGAAAAATTGGGGTGTTTTAAAACTTTTGACTGGTACTTTTCTACTAAAAGTATACTTTCTACTTTACTAAAGCTAAACTTTCATGATCAATTTCAGTTTCGTCCTGCCAGTAAATCATGCAGCTATGTTCTCATTTCAGGGAGGATGCAGAAGCTCCCAAAGCCAAACTAGTGAAGCCCAACTCCCTCTCCTCATCTCGCTCTGGCAGTTCCCATTCGGGCACCTCCTCCACCCAGTCCATGGTGCACAACATGGGACCTAAATGTCAGCGTGCCTTTGTTCCTGCTGTGGCTGCCCTTAACGAGAACTGCCAGGCTTTCCCACAGTCTCCACCTGAATGCCATCAGAAGATTCCCAAGATCCCTGAACATCTATTGCACCCACTTCCATGTCTACCTCTCACTCCAAACCCAGTCACTGCTGTTATGATCAAACCAGCTCAAACCAGGGCCTTCCAAGCCGTGTAGAAGAAAAATCCAGTTCCTCAACTTACTTCATTCACACTGTGACAAAACACTTTCAGCAACTTAACTCTTGAAGAATTTCTGCAATATAAAAAGAGTTTTGTTCTGGTGTCATTTATTTGTACACAGTCACCTCTGTAGGTTTTAGAGAGAGATTGTTAGGTTGTTAAAAGTATATTTCAGTATACTTTTAACAACCTAACAATCTCACATACATCTGTTAACACCTGTAGTTTTACTTTCTGACAAAAGTTTAGGTTTTTATAGATTTGGATATGATGCACAGTCTCAGAGGTACTTATTGAAATTTTTTAATTCAGGTTCATGGACCAGTTCTTACCATTGTTCACTTTTACATGAAAATGCAAAAATACCTGCAACACAGTCTGATTGCAGTTTGTAAAATACTGTTGGCCACAAACTAATTTGTGGCCATGGACGTTAAATATTGTATTTTTTAGTTGGATCAAGCTCCACTGCAGAAAGAACTACGTAGTGGTGCTTGCATAAGTCACAGGACCTAAAAACTTCTGTCTGAGAGTTTTTTTTGTTTGCTTTGTGTGGGACCACCAGGGGACTCCACTCACATCCAGCAATAAGGGAAGAGGGAGGGGTAATGTTTTTGGGTTGTAGGAGGTGTTTTCTGCCTTGTGAGTTCAGTTGTGTGAAGCTGAAATTAAAGTTGGAGTAAAACGTGATGAGGTCTTGTGTCATCCTTACGTACCTCCACATTGGTGACCCCTGAGACAAACATGCTGAGGCCTGAAGAGGAAACCGGCCCTTTCCCAGAAGCATCTGTGGCTGCCAGACTCCCACCTCTGCCTGCACCTGCGTTTGCTTTGGTAGTTAAAGTACAGGACTTTTGGCTTCACGACCCTCCTTCATGGTTCGTGCATGTCGAAGCTCAGTTTGCTCTTTGTGGAATTTTATCTGAAGACATGAAAAACATGTGGTGGCCTCATTGGCCTCCGCTGTCCAATGACCCTCCTCCAGAATCCCCTTGGCCAAGGGAAATACACCGCTCTCAAGGCGCTGCTGCTGCGGCGCCACTCCGACACAGAGAAAAGAAACTCCTCTCTCTCAGGCTTAGGTGATGGTACCACTTTCAAGCTCATGGAGAACATGCTGTGCTTACTGGGGATGGATGACATAGAGTTCCTCTTCACACATGGTTATCTCCAACAACAGTCCGCTTCTGTGTGGGCTGGCACCCACACTAATTCTCCCAGAGGCCTCTGGCTCAGTGACAGTGGCTGGGATCACGGCACGACGTTTCAGCGCCAAAGTGAAGATTTAAGACCCAGGGAAATGAACCCGCCAGTGGTCTGTAGCAGACGTGACCAGGAATGGCTGCTCTTCATAGAAGACTCACACTTGGGGAGACATTTTCCTGCCCTCGGCTGGTTCTGAGAGGCTAGCTAAGGGCTGTGTGCAGCTACTAGCAGCGGCTAATGGCTCCCCCATCAAAACATTTGGTGAAAAGGCGCAGATTTTCTTTGTGCTCACAGACTACTGGTTGATTTCATTAACAGATGTTTGATCAATGCTGTGTCATTTTCTTCACTGCTATGCTAATCTTGTAGTTTAATGTAGGTTCATGTTGATTGCATGTTGGATGATGTGTTTTTGGGGAATACTGTTAAATATGTCAGAACAAGATCTAGAGTGGTGGGTTCTTTTACAATTTGAGAAAAACAAACTTAGTCTAATTCTGTCTAATTAGATTAAACACAGGAGTGTCGATTAATTTAAACTAACATAATCATCCTGCTCTAACCAGGTTTCAATAAGGCAGAGTAAATCAGTATGTCTATCATTTATTAATTCATGTACTAACAAGAACTTAAAAGAGAGAAAGACTTAATGTTTAATAGTCATAGTTTTTACTATTTGGGTACTATATTGTTCTCTTTTTTTGGTGGTCTGGGACCAGGCACTCTTTAAGCGGATGTGGTTTTACAGGGCTAACAGGTTAATCTATGATTAAGCATTTCTATACCAATGAGTGTTTTTGAGGAAATGGTGCCTCTATTCATAAAGAATGAGCTACTACCCTAAATACTAAAGACTATGCTAAGGCTCGTTATTATTATTGCGCTTTTTTCCTCTGTCTGAGCACTCAAAGCGCTTTATACAATATGCCTCATTCATACATTCACACAAGCACTTTGTTCTATGCTTTTTTTTTTTTTTTCATCATTGTTTTTATTGCAGATTTTCCTTTAACAGGACAGTGTCTCGACATTAGACACAGAACAACAAAACAGTACAAACACAAAACGTACACAACAGCTCTTAAATAAGGCATAATACAAGATACAAAATACAAAATATAACATACAAGAGGTGGTGAGTCAGTCTTACAGCGCCCGGGTGGTGATCACGTGCGTAGTAGTCCTTTGAATAAGATAGCGGAAAGGTCCGGTCCAATATAGTCCAAAAAGGGGTGCCGCATCCCATAGAACTGACCCACACTGTGGTGTATAATGTGTGTGAGGTATTCCAGAGGAATCAGTTCAAAAATTATTTTGCGCAAGCCACAGACAGTGGGAGTCCTATCGTTGATCCATTGTAAGAGGATATTTTTCCTGGCTGCAAATGTCAGAGTGTTATACAATCTTTTGTTGGCCGCCGCTTTTAGGCGGTCACTTGGAAGACCTAGAATCAGGGATAAAGGGTCCATCTCTATATCAACGTGGAAGATTTTCCCCAGTTCACCTGTAATGGCAGCCCAGTATTCTTGAAGCTTGTAACAGGACCAAAAACAGTGAGTTAAAGTCCCTACATCAGTTTTGCACTTAAGACACACAGGGGAAAGAGAGCGGTTGAAGAGGTGTCTGCGGTGAGGGGATACATGCAATCTGTGTAAAATCTTAAGTTGGATTGCTCTTGTCCGAGTACAAATTGAAATCCTTTTTGCGAGAGACCAAACGGTATCCCACTTATCTTCATCTATGGTTACCGACAGTTCCCTCTCCCACACACCTCTAATCCCCTGCGCATCAGTGGTAGTCAAAGCATTAAGCACATGATAAAATGAACTCAGAGACACCTTCAGCTGTTGCCTAAACAAAACCCTCTCAACATCAGATACTTCAGGGTGCTCAGCAAGGGTTGTACTGTGAGTGATATAGTGTCGTATTTGCAAAAAACGAAAGAAATCCTGTCTAGGCAAGCCGTAACTGTTGGTAAGTTGTTCAAACGACATGAGTTCACCACCCGAGAAAAGGTCACCAAGAGACTTAATATTCTTATCAGACCATCGTTGAAAGCCGGGGTCCAAGGAACCCGGAGGGAAAGCAGGGTTATTCATTATAGGGGTAAAGGTTGAAGTTATTCTCGATCTTCCCTCAAGATGGCGGACAATTCGCCACGCTTTTACGGTGTTGATTGTTACAGGATTTGTACAAAGGGCCTTAATTCCGTTAAAATCATTACAAAATAATAGATCGCTCAGTTTGCATTGTGACAGAGCTGTCTCAATATCTGACCAGATTGAGGTTTTACCCCCAACCCAGTCGCTCACAAATCTTAAATGGGCAGAAAGCTGATACAATCTAATATTAGGTAGATCCAAGCCGCCCCTGGAGCTTGGCAGATGCAACACTGCCATCTTGAGTCTGGGTCTGCGCTTGTTCCAGATGAAAGAGGTGAGCCAACCATTTATGTCCTTCAGTACTCTCTTAGAGAACAAGACAGGGATCATTTGGATAGGATACAATAGCCTGGGCAGCACATTCATTTTGATCAGGGCAATGCGTCCTAGCCAGGAGACAGGAAGTGACGCCCACCACTCTAGGTCCTGTTTGAGTTTGCCAAATAAGGGTGTGAAGTTGGCTTTGTACAATTGGTCGAGAGACGGGGTAATAAAGATCCCCAAATACACAAATCCATTAGGAGACCATTTAAAAGGAAAAGAAGGAACAGTAGCCGACATTGTGAAAAGACTACCGAGAGGCATGGCCTCTGACTTAGCCAAATTGATTCTATAGCCAGAGAAACGGCTAAACCTGTCAATCACCTCAATGAGACTGGGTACGGATGTTACAGGGTTAGTCAAAAGAATCAAGATGTCGTCCGCGTATAAGGTTATTTTATGACACAGCTGTCCAATCTCTAAACTACGTATTGTGGGCGTCGCCCTTATGGCCTCAGCAAGAGGCTCTATGGCCAGAGCGAATAGAAGGGGCGACAAGGGGCAGCCCTGCATGACTCCCCTATGAGTGTTGAAGTAATCAGACCTAAGTCCATTAGTCAGGACTGCTGCCTGTGGATTATTGTAGATAACTTTGACCCATTTTATAAAATTCTCCCCTAAGCCGAATTTGCCTAGAGTATACAACAAGTAAGACCACTCAATTCTGTCAAATGCTTTCTCCGCATCGAGAGAAAGCACCAGGCCGTCAATAGATTTTTGCTTGAAAGCTACAATAGCGTTCAGTAAGCGTCTAACATTGGTGGCTGAGTTTCGACCCTTTATAAAGCCTGTCTGGTCCTCCCTTATCAGCACAGGTAAAAAAATTTCTAAGCGGGAGGCCAGAATTTTAGAAAGCAGTTTCCTATCCACATTCAAGAGGGCTATAGGTCTATAGGATCCGCACAAATCAGGACACTTCCCTTTCTTTAGAATTAGGGAAATGTTGGCTTCCTTCAGTGTCTG